AAATCATGCCAGTACAGTTTGCCGGGTAGCTTAATGTTGAACAAATTGTAAATATGTATTTCACGCAAGTTAAGCGTCTAACTATTATCTCATGTTTTCTGCATTATTACAGATTTGCAAAAGTTCACCGGAAGAAGTTTTAGAGCAGATTGAAACCATGATGGAACTATTTTCATTTCGTGACACTTGGGATCCTGTGAATAAGCTTTTCAACTTCGGAGGCATAACTCTTTCATTGCGAGTCATTATTTTTGCTTATGAGTGGAACTATTCCGGCAGGTAAGTGAAAATCCAACACAGGCATATAAACACTAATTTTATCTAAACTTAAAAATCAAATATAAAGTTAATAACAGTATTACCCCGGAAAGTGCTGAAAATATAACAAATAAAAAACAAACTTTGACATCTGCTACAAACAATGAAAATGAGGAAAATCGGGCAGTAAAGCTTTTTCTGCGCTTTCTGACCCACTCTCCTATCCACTACTGGAGATTTGACTAGCAGATTCAACTGTCCGTCAGTTTTGCAACTCCTCCTCAAATTTGAGGAAACTTCTCAGTAAAAATTAGAAAAAAATGGCCGCAAGCAGTTTTGCATGCGCCTACGACCCAAGAAGTACAGCTAATAACATTTTATTCTTTAGTGTATAATCGGAAGAAAATCACAATGGGCTTATAAAAATAGTCTGAAATCTGCTGATTTTGTAACTTGCTTTTCGAAGTTTCCTGTGTTCACGGGTAGTTTTTCTCAGTCCTCGGCAAGCAGGATGGTACAGACGGAGGAGAAAAAGAAACCTGATCGAACTAAACAAGCGCATTTTCATACATTCTTTCTAGTGTATGATTTCAGTTGTTTTCGAGCGTCTATCTCCTTCTCCTCCCTTTGTTTCCCCAAAACAAGAGCTCTGATCAGTTGATATCTTGCCGAAAAAAAGTGTTTAACAGTCTGCGAGTAAGTTTGTTTATTTATGTCAGGTTTTCCCGAGTCTCCCTCTCGGTCAACCTAACTGCCGGCTATGAAGAAAAAGTGCCTGCATTACGTAGTAAGTAAATTTTCGTAAGCACATTACGCTCTAAGAGTGATTTTATTTTGCTTGTCGTAGCTTGAGCGTCATCAACTAACTCATTTGGCATCTTCGAACATTATTGTGGATTTTACACTATTTGTTAAATTAGGTTTTTGCATCACTTCTTTTTTCTCTGATAATCAAAGTTACTAAATGTGGATAGTAATAGTAACTGAAGAAAGCAAAAGCTTTGAGCTGTTCTGAAGATGTTTGATTGCCTTATGTTTTTGTTTCATTATATTTTCAGTGAGAACAACCCGCAACAACAAACCACAAACAATTTCTTTATATGATACCGATGCATGTATGCAGGACACGTTTCCCAAAACAGTGCCAAAAACAAATGGAATATCACAGAAAGACTGTAAAGGTATGGCTCA